GATTATGGCGGGTGGATGGGAGGGGGCGGGGGGGACCCCCCCCGGGTCACCGCCCCCCCGATGGCGGATTTCCAGACCCGGATGAGTGCGTATCGGGTGCACCATGGCTACCCCGCCGACGGGTTTTCCGGCGAGACCACGCCGTCGAGGAGTCTGCTCACGTGGCTGCAGAGCGTCTCCACGACCGACGTGCTGGGGGCGACCGCGGAGCCGGTCGTCGTGCACGCCGCCAAACCGATCCGAGACGACGACGACGGGGGGGAGGAGGGCGGGGATCTCGACGGGGACGCGGCAGCCACGCAGCCCTTCTCCTCGTCACGCACGGCTCAGATCACCATCCTTGAGGCACCATGCCGTAGCGCCGAGGTGACCCTGCGCGAGCTACGCGAGGCCCTGCGTGCTGCACGCTTCCAGATGATCCAAGGGCTCAGCGGAAGACCGCTGCAGGCCCTGGACCTTGGGAGGGAAGTGGTTTCTCTCTCCCACGATCGCCCCAATCGGGAGGAATCCATTTCCTTCCGAAAAATTGCTCTGTCCTACATCTCATCCCCGATACCCGGGATATTCACGCCTGAGGAGTACTCAATGGGGCAGGGGAGGGTGACGGCACGGTCGCCTTCCTCTACAGATGTGGAATCGCCTCTTTGGGAGCTTGTGAATCGGTTAAGATATACCGTACTTGATAAATATTTCATGCCGAATGCGGAAAGCCAGCCGGCGCCTGAGCGCGATCCGAAGTCCGACATTGATGTATCATTAGGCTCCTTCAAGTCTGCCGAAGTTCAAGTCGGTTCAACAGATGGTACCTTGGAAGTCACGTCAAGTATGCCACATCTTATGGATGAGTCGTCTCAATCCACACTTATGTTATCGGAAAGGGAGTTGAATCCGTCGAAGCTCATTGGACAGGAGTTGCTCGCGATCAAACATCTCAATATTTCGGAAGAGGCTATCAACTACCAGATCGCGGCTCAGATGCCAATGGAGAAGTACTTGGTAACATATGTGCTCCCAAGCCTGACGCCAGCCTTGACGGAGGTCGTGAAGCTGCGCCCAGACGATCCGATCACCGTCTTAGCAGACATTCTGTACGATTACAAGCGTCGTACAGACGTGTAAGGGAAGGGGAGGGGTGGGGTGAACCTCTTGAGGGCCAAAAGTGAGGGAATAGGGTAATAAAAAAAGCGGTCGTGATGAATATTTATGGTAAGCCTTTTTCCTTATTTACAGATGCTGCAGGCCCTTCATTTTTTATTCTTACCTGTCCCGTAATACTTGCTTTCTCTCTTCTTCCTTTGAGAACGTATTCTTCACCCGTCTCGTGTAAGAGAAGGGGGGGGAAGGGGGCTCATAGCGTCGATATTCCCATCTACTTTACCTGAAATTCGATGTAAATTTTTCATTTCTGCCCTGATACTCAGGTTTTTATTTCATTTGTTTGTGTGTTTGTGTCCTCCCAGAGTGACAATCACAACAAATAATTAGAAATAGAAGAGGAGAGGCAGAATGACTTTTATGGCAATATGCCCTGTGTTTCCTGTTGTGTTTCACTTTACAAATGAAGATAGTCATTAAAATAATATTCGTATGGATATTCCCCGATTTTGAAGGCATCAGTCATTATGCTTCTTCTGCGTCATTATCTCTTTGTCTTTCTCACAACTCCCTTTGCAACGATAGTTGGTACTATATTTACACACACCTTTTTTGTATATTTGATTCAGTTTGAAACATCTTTTTTTTATCTAGAGAATAATTAAGAAGTGAACAATGGAGGAGGTGCACCCGAAGATTTCCATCAATCCTCTCTTAGAAAAAATGAGAAAGCTGCAGGAGCAGCGTGCGAAGGCTAGCGCGGAGGTTGTGGTCAATAAAGATTCTATCCATTCCTCCGTGTGTGCGGTTAGCGTGGGCTCACAGAGTAGTAAATCCAACACATCGGGTTCACTAGCGGTCCCCCGATTGGACCCCACCACGAGGGTTGCTTCTTCGTCTTCCGTATCGACGAAGCCTAGCGAGGTCGGCAAGAACGATCCGGATAGCATTTTGAAAAGTGCGCCGCCGAGCTTTTATTCCCCCGTGCACGCGGTTCTTTGCTACCGTGATCGTCAAGGGGATCCGCTCTGCGGGTCCTTCACCTCCCTCACGGTGGTGGATATTCTGAAGAAAATGCTCCTCGGCGAGGGCGAAGGCGATAGCGCGATCGGCGTGAAGCGGGGCCGCGAGGAGGCGGAGGAGCATGGCCACGATGAGGACGCCGCCGCCCATCCCTCCGAGGATCTGGGGATCGCGAAAAAACACAAACCCGACGCCGCCGCGATGGATTTCTACTTCAACCTGATGAAAAGCCAGCGACGGGCGTGGGATCGCTACGCTCGTCAGGACGATCACGAGACCAGCGAGCGGGGCGGGGAGGCCGCTCAAGGCAGCCTTTACGACCACGCGGAGTACCGCCGGTTGTGTGAGCACGCCCGGATCGATGTTTTTGGGAAAGAACGCCCGCCTTGCCGGGATGTGAACCATTACGTTCGGCGGGATCGCATCGCGCATGGCGTGTACGGCGTCGTTTTCAGCGCCGTCGAGGCGGCGCCGTTGCCCGCGCTCGTATCCCTGCCAGCGACCCCCGGCGCGTCGCCGCAGCGGCCGGCTTCCGATGCCCCCAAAACCCCTTCACCACCCAAGCTGTTCGCCCTCAAACACATCAAAAAACAGTGGCTGGAGGAGTCCCAGGTCGGGTTTCCGCCGTATCTGATGCGCGAATTCGATCTCCTGCTTCGCATCCAACATCCGAATATCGTGCAGACGCGCGAGATCGTCCAGTTGGATCCGCTTCCCCAACCTGGTGCGGCTCCCCCTTCCACCACCGCCGCCGAGGACGCACGAAAGGCGGAGAAAAGCCGAGGAGACGGTTGCAGCGCCGGCGTGGGCGCCTCAACGTTGGTAGCTGGCCCTTTAAAAAAAATCCGAAGCGCCAAGGATGTCTTTCTCGTGATGGAGTGCTGCCCATTGGATCTAAAGAACTACATGCTGCGCTACTCCCGGCGCACCCACACCCCTTATCTTCATATCAGCTCACGCCACCCCCACCCGGACGCCCGGCGGATCTTTCTCTCCCGCGTGAAATGCATCATGCTGCAGTTGTTCAACGGGTTGAGTTTTCTCCACGCCCATCGCATCCTGCATCGCGACCTGAAGCTTTCCAACGTCCTTCTTGACGAGCACGGCTACGCGAAGCTGTGCGATTTCGGCCTCGGCCGTTACTACCACGAAGGGCAGAGCCTCACGCCGACGGTGGTGACGTTGATGTATCGCGCCCCGGAGCTCCACCTCGGCGTCGTTGACTACTCGCACAAGATGGATGTGTGGTCGATGGGCTGCGTAATGGCGGAGCTCTTTTTGAAACAACCCATCTTCGCGGCGAACCGCGAAAGCGATCACCTGCTCGCGATCTGCGACGTGCTCGGGATCCCCACCGAGGAGACCTTCCCGGGGTTGTATAAACTGCCGAACGCGAAGGAGGCGCTTCGCGGGATCGGCCGATGGAATCGCGAGAATAAACTGCCGGAGGTGTTTCAAAAGAGCTCCTGCGTGGACGCCTCGGCGCTCCCGCCGAGTGGGTTGGAGCTGCTGCAGTCGATTTTCAGCTGGTGCCCGGCGCGGCGGCCCTCCGCGGCGGAGGTCGCCCAACACGCGTTTTTCCGCGAGGATCCGCTCCCCTGCATGCCGGCGGAGTTGCTCCTTCCGATGCCCTCCCAAGCAACCCCAATGGACGGCAACGAACCCAATGGGAGCGCGCCGGAAGAGCAGAAAATGTTTCATCGGCATGACGGCCTGGAGGGGGGTGAGAAGCCACGCGGATCGACGTCGTCGGTGCCACCGCCTCTTCTGCAGCACCCGGCCTCTGCGAACAACGGATTCACGACAAGCATGGCCACCGCCTCCTCGAAGGATGCGTTGCATTCGCTCGAAAGCCGAAGCGGGGATCGAGGGACTGACGACGAGTCGGACGAGGATCTACGGCAGGGAACTCATGCAAGGGCAGACAATCCTCTCTTAGATCAGGATAACTCCTGCCTGGATGAGGCGAGTGCCTCGTTTGAGGTGCCCTCCTTGTCTCCTGCGATGGGCGAGAAGCGCGGGAAGAGGCATCGGCAATACAGCAACCGCGTTGAATCCGGCGAGAGTTCGGTGGAGCGTGGGGGCAAACACGTGACACTTGAAATCCAACTACGAGCCAATCAAGATATTGGTGATTAGAGCCCCTCCCCCCCCTCCCCCTTTCTTCCCTACACTTCTCAAAAGTCAGCCACAATAATGTCCTTATTTTGAAGCTAACAAGAGATTGAATGGGTAACTCCCAAAGACGGTATTCCGTACCTGGCTGGGAGGCTTTCAACTTTGGATAGGTGGCGGGGAGGGGGACATGGGGAGGATCGCTTTTGACCCCTTTGCCCGGTGGACCATTTGGACCGCTCCTAGTCGTTTCTTTGTGAACCGAGGAGATCATCCATCCGCAGGAGAGGGTCAAGTTGTGACCCACGAAGCTACTATTTCAACTTGTGACATCCAAATTTGTTACATCTAACCACCCTAAAATGGGTTATATTCGCTTTCCTAATGATTGTCTAGGAGGTTTTGTGAGTGGAAATGGGGAAATACAGGATAACTCCTATTTCAGTTTTTTCTTTTTTTTTTTTTGGTCTACAGAACTCTTGGATCTCAATCGATTACTTTTATGGGCTTTATTTTGAGGTGATATCAGTCCATATATTTTTATGCATTTAGGAATTGATTGCGTTTTGGAAATTTGCTTTATTTTTTTTTGTTAGTAATTCATTCATTTACCCTAATTGATGCGCGTGCACTTCTTCCGTGTGCGTGTGTACTTTGAGTTGGTTTCGTAATGTTGGCGTTGGCGTTGGCGTTGGTTTGTGCGTGAGTGTTTGTTTTTATAAATGAGCAACAGGTGTAATTCGATGCCAGAGGAACAGAAATTCATAAACTCTCTTTCCTTTATTGCACAATTACTTCCTCAGGCGTTGTGAAAATGTCGACCTCGTCATATGGATGACCCTTACAAATTGAATCAATCATTAAAAAAAATACAACTGGTCGAGCTAAAAAGAAAAAAAAACTTAATCGAGCGGAAGAACACATATTTCTGGGGTATTGGCAGTTAGCCTGGATCCTCAAATGCGAACCCAGTGATGCCGCACAAGTGTTTTTCTGCATGCACCTGAGCTTCAGAGTATTTTACGCACTGAGGTCTTTCAGTGTATCCTTTCGAGAGGGGGACGTGGGCCTGACTCTAGCTGCCTCGTCGCTTGACTTCAACACGCGATTTCGTGGCCATAATCGTGTGTACGTACATCGTCTTATCAGTGGGTGTGATCAACGACTCAGTTTTCTAGTTCTTAAGTGCCCTTGGTCTAGTCCTCGGCCCTAACGTTTTCGTCTTCTGTTAACTTATCATTATTCGCTCAAGCTACCATGAGCAAAGATGTTCCTCCCTCGGCGTTTTTCCTGAATGTCAGTGCGCGACATTATGGACAAAGAACAGAGCTACTGAGGAGCACTTTCTTCTGCAGCTTGTATGGTGCATTGTTTAGAGTGCCTCTTTCAATTTCAGTCAACCACTCACTGTTGATAATATATTTATACATATATACATGTACATCTTCATGATTTAAAAATGAATGTAGATGAATGAACTAGTATAATGACTTTTGATATGATAAATAAAAGAAGTTGCTTAAGCAATTTTTTCTTCGCCAAAGTCCTTTTCTGTTAAGATTACTGCAGTCAATATTTATTGATTCTTATAGTCAGATTTAGGAAGATTAGTCGCGTTGAGCGAAAAGGTCACTCCGCATCATATATTCTTTTTTAGTACGAGCGAGCATGCTTAGTTTATAGTGCTCCATTTTTTTAAAATTTTTTGTTTCGATCATCGATACATTGAATTGTTAGATGCTTAATGAAAAGGGGAGAATTGTTGAAGTAGGTGTATTACATTCTGAAATAGCTAATTTAAATTTTATGTGCGTGATTTTATAACGATGCATGTTTCTTATTCAATTGTAACAATTTTTCACTAAAAAAGTATCTACTTTGATATTTTTTCCTTTTTTGCTTACAAAATACTCAGCCTAATGCCATCCAGCTACCCATTCACGTCTTCTATCCTCATACAATTATTATAACCATCATTATTTCGAGGTAATAGCAAACACAAGAAGAATAGTATCATGTATTTTGGTAACGAGACACCTTTCCACTTAAAGCCCATTCCGAATCGTGGGCTACGCAAGCATGAGGCTGATGCGTTTTTCCACTACCCAGGGTACAAACATCCACTATCCTCGGAGGCTCTGAAAGAGGAGTGTAACCCTTTTTATATTAGTGAGGAGCACCGCCTCCACCCTTTGCTCACTCCGGAGGATGAAATCCGGCATTCGGCTCGGGTTCAACAGGAGAAGCGGGATAAGATAATTGAGATTCGTCGCCAGCGTCAGCTCTTTGAGTCGAAGAAACTGCAAGAAAAGCGTGAAAATGAATTCCAACAACAGCAGGAGCGTGCGGCACAGCTGGTGGGCAGGTCGATACGAAACTATGGCTCTGACTTTCGCGATACTATCACGCACCATTGCCAGACCGTTGATTCAAAGAAGCAGTGTGATTATGATGAGGCTATGATGAAGCACCGGTACCACTTAAGGCAGCAAAAGATTGATAGGGCTACTAACTCCCGATTTAACATTCTCTCGTGGGAGCCTCGAAAAGAGGTGTACGTCCCACCCAAACCTGTTCTAGACGAATAGTTCTATGCCAAAAGTGGGGAAAGAACCCCCCCTCCCTCCCCCCCCTCAATAATCTTTGGCTTTTCAAACCAAGTGAGAATCAAAACTGCTAGAAGAGGGTTAGATAGAGCGCAAGAACATGAACAACAACAACAAAGCGCTGCAGCGATTGGTTACAGTCATGAGACGAGACACATCGACATGTTCGCCAGATGTGAATAAATACCATATAAAGCAATAATTCTTTGCGTTTATTACAGAGTTCGACTCTTTAGGTCGAAATCATCCTAGAAAAAACAACAGTAACAGCGGATTTTTGAGTTGTTGAATCAAACCGTTCATATGTATAGTTACAGACTCTTGTTTTCTCTTGTGGTTTCCCTTATATATCAAAATGTTCAATCATGCCACGTTGCCGTATTTCATCATCTACTCATATCTTTTTGATTATTTCTTTGTCCTTGTGTATTATTCCCTTTGGTTCTTATCCATACATTTCCCAAGGACGATAACTTCATTCAAATTTTCAAATGAGAGGCGAGATTGTTGTTAGATTTACCTTTTTAGTATCTTTGATTTGGTCCTTTCGCTGAGGACGAGTACGCATTTGACGCTTCATCGAGAGAAGGGTTGATGCCGCGGATTAGATGCATTCTTCGTCCGTCAGTGGTAGGGAAGGGGAGCAGGCTTTCCCGGGATCATCGATTTCTGAAAACGACGGTGGGTATGCGTGCGAGCAAGTGCCCGATGCGAATCGCATGCCATTCCATCAGGAAGTTTCCACCAACCTCCCTTTGATCACGGAACGGGGCTTGATCCCAATCCAGGTGGGAGGAGGCTCCCATCCTTCCTCCGAGATGGAGGTTCTTCCACCTTCGCCGTCAGGGCATTCCGCTAGGGCCTCCAAAGAAGTCTCTCCCAACGCCGTGGGCGAGCCCGCATCGACCACCCTGAGGGCTTCTTCCCAGGCATCATCCACCCCAACAAGGGGTGAGGAGAAAGGGAAAGAAACCCTCACTTTTGAGCGTGTCGCCGCGCAGGTGATCCCGTTGCGGGATTCAGCGTCCTCCGCGCGTCTTTTTCGCGGAAATCGGCTCAAACGTCAGAGGAATCCGCGTCGGAGCCGCCCGTTTGGTGAGGAGACGCCATTTTTTGATGAAACGATCGTCGAAGGTGTTTCTCCACGGCGATCCCATTATGGGAGACGGGATGGGAACGGCTGTCGGCCACAGCCTCCCGGCATTTCCTTCGAAACGCCTTCAATCCAAAGCGCTCTGGAATGGACGGAACCATCGCATCCTCCCCCTCGTTTTGTTCACGAACTCTGGCAGACAACTTCTTGCTTCCACGAATCCTGGGAAGGGTTCGCTGGCGGCGCGACTGGCCGCGACTTTCCGCATTGCCCGACCCCTTTTCACCCGACTGGCGAGGCGAGGGATGCGGAAGGGGCGGGAAGGTTGGATTGGTGCTGTGGTTTATCAAACCTTTTGCTTTCGTTCGCCTCGTGGCTTCACCAGACGAGGAGGGGATCGCCTGAAGGGCGTTTGGTTGCTGAATCCCCTCACCCCCATGCGGGTTCTTTTTCGTCGTTCGCGTTATCCGCAGCGCGGCGATCTCGTTCCCCTCCCTCTCGCGCTTTCTCGGCGGATCGCCACCTCTCTTCGCGGCAGAGCCCTCTCGATGAGTGCGTCGCGCGCTGCGGTCGGTTCTTTCACCGCAGGGTGCGGAGAATTTTTGATTGTCGGCATCTTTTCGATGGCTCTTTGGGATCGAATCGGAGGATTTCACCCGTTTCTCCCGTTTCCCCGATACGAGTTCGATCTCACGTGTGAGGGTCGTGGTGGGGTGGCTTTTTCCACTTTTTTTCGGCCCTGATGCTGGTCGTCGCTTTTGGGGCGATCGTGATGCTGGAGGCTCGCCTGGATCGTCTTTCCGTCGTGAACGACGGCAGCGCCTGTCAGGCGTTTTCGTTTCACGACGTCTGGCCGCCAACGCTTTTTTTTAGCGGCTGCGGTCTTTTTTTAAACGGCGGGCTCGCGGTTTGGATCACCTGGCGCGTGGTGCGTTACGAGGCCTCGGCTTGCGTGCTTTCCCACCCCCTCACGCTGCTGCTGCTGCTCTCCAAGGTGGTGCATGTCAACCTCTACGTGGGTGATCGCTATGGAGGGGGAGGGGGGACATCCCTTTCTTGTGCGTTTCACGCAGGGGTTGCTTTTTCTCGCGGTGGGAGGGGGGTTGATCGGGTGGGGGGTTTCCCCCTTCTGCCGTTGCTGTTTCTTCTCGTGGGGGCGGGCGGGGTCGTCGATGGACGTCGTCGTCGCTGTCAACGCGCTGCGGGTGGGGTTTTTCCTCCGCGAAGGGTGGGGGTGGAGAGGGGGGGCGCTCGCGATGACGGCGGTGGGGATCCAAGCGATTCCCCCGCTGCTTCAACGGCGCGGCGGTCGATCGGGGTGCTGCTGCTGCTCCTCGCAGCGGCGACGGGAGGTGGGGGGGTCGTTTTCGCGCGTGGTGGGGAAGGGAGGAGGACGTGTTACGCGCCTCACCTCCTTGGATGCCTTGCTGAGAGGAGGATTTTTATCCTCTCGCATTTTTTCCGCGGAGGGGAAAGCGGGGGGCGCGCGATCGATCATTTTCTCCCTCCCAGCACACCGATTAACGGGAGTAGCACCTTCCTTCCCACGCAAGGGGCCGCCGGGGAGTACTTCGAGCTTGACGGCTGCGATTACGCGACGTGCTTCCTGGTGGAGGGGGGTTGTTATCTCGATCATATCACGCGGTGTTGCGCGGACTACGGCCGCTGCTCGCGCGTGGAGGATTACCGGGGTTATGCGGTGGGGTTGCTGGTGGTGCTATCGGTGTTGGGTGCGGTGGGGCGTGGGGTTCTCGCCATCCTAGCCTGGCGGCGTGCCGGAGAGGAGGAGGAGGAGGACGACACCGCCATTCATCTGCTCCTGGATGGGCATCGGAGGTATGGATCATCGCCATCCCCCACCACGTGCCTTCCTTCCTGTCGTGGGTAGAGGGATTCCTCACGCCTATCAAAGAATCTAACTACCAAAAGGCGCATGACAAAGGAAGTGATACTCCCCTGTGGCGATGGAACGGCGCCATCTTGGATGGAAGCGATCCGTTTACAGTATAAAACGGTATAACATTTATGGAAGAGGTCGGTTATCACCTTTCCTGTTTTCCTTTTTAGTTTCTGATAGCGATTATTACGTTACCTTTTTTCCTTTTCCCCTTTGTGTATGATTTACTGGGGTTAAAAGCATTGTATTGCTTCGTTAGCTTCGTCTTTTTTTTTCCCTTCATAGGATCTCCCTCCCTCCCTCCCTCTTCCCCTAGGCTAGCTCTCTGGGCTGCTTGCATTCTTGATTAGTCCAAGCTTCCATTTTTTTCCTCTTTCTCTTCTTCTTCTTCTCTCTCTGTCTTTCCAGTTGGACTGTTGGAAAGTAATATTTTTTTTTATCCCACATATAACAAAAAAAGAAAAGCGACCAACCCTATTTCACGTTAGTCCTAGAGGTATGGCTGAGCAGGTAACGAATGAGAACCTTCAGGTCCTCCTCACGAAGCTCATGACGGATCGCTTCTGCAGCCAGGAGGCGAGCGACCTCGACGCGTGCATTCAGAACTTCGTCCCGCAGCGGATTGACGGGAGTCGCATCGATGAGAGCCTGCAGCGACGCGGGATGAGGAAATGTCAGCCCTACCGTGAAGCCACGCAGCGCTGTTTGGAGGATCAGAAGAAGCAATCGGCGGTTTTTCGCGCCGCCGCCGCCGCACCGGTGTGCAGGAAGGAGCAAAAAGCCCTGCAGCAATGCCGACAGGTTGCCGGGCGGGATTGCGAGCACGAGGCGCTCGAAACGATCTACTGCGGGATGGTGTATTTAGTGCAGAGGCAGAAGGAACGACAGCGATTCGCCCCTTCTGATTAGGCGCGAGACGGACGCTCCAACATGCATATATATATATATATATGTATATATATGATGTGTTTAGTCCATACTAGTCGTCAAGGCCCCCTTCCTCCAAAAAAAGAAAGAAGCAACGGAAAGCAGGTGGCTCCAGTAAGTGTTAAAATCTTTGATGGATTAATGACTGTTGCGTAAGTGGTATTAAGCTGTTAGTTCTGAGCGGATTGTGTGTGAAGTCCATCCCATCAGTGGGGAAAGTGTTAGGGAACGGGTGCCGTTTGTGATCCGTCTGTTTCTTAGCTTTCTGGTGACCTATTCCTCTGGGATTCACATGAACAATGGTACCAAAAAGTCTAAAAGAATAACTAAGATTATGTGAATTATGGTGAAAATGAAGTGAATTTGAAAATTATAGTAATACATATAAACTCCATTAAGATACCCTGTTTCATTGTCTAAGGACAAGGACAATGTCATAATGGGGAGGGAGGTTGTAACGTTGGATGGTAGCTTCGATGCTTAACGTATTCCTTGTTTCCCGTCCTGTGCTATGATTAAGCTATACTCACTTATTCTTTCCACAATGCCATCCGTTTCTAATTAATTTACCTTTCGAAACCCGTTATACGCTTTCCAAAGTTTACACTTCTTTTTTGCTCATTTCTTTTTCTCTTTAATCTTTTTTTCTCCCTTCTCTCCTCGGTGTCATCATTTTTTACCGTGCTTGTTTGTCTTGTTCTCTGATAGAAGTGTGCCTTTCAGAGCTACAAATTCCAAAATAGTAAACCGTATAGAAAAAAAACCAGTTCAAGGAGTCCGTTAAAAGATGCTAGGCGGCGGTGACCCTCAATACAACTTTTCGGATTCAGTAAACAATCCGGTGAAAGGCGGCACCCTGAACGCGAGTGTGAACCAACCTTCACAGTTTATTTCCTCGCCGCACCTTGGATCCCAAAACTTTCCCAACACCACCCCTCCATCCGGGCAAGAAACCCATGTCGCCACGCAGGAAACGCGCATGTACAAAGGGGTTCACCCCATTGCCGCGCTCTTTCATATTCTTTTCAAAGCCGCCGCATTTCTCTGCTTCATCTTTGGCAACTTCTTGACCTCCAGCTATGTCATTTCAAGCGTAATGACAATCATCTTCTGCGCGTCGGATTTTTGGATCACCAAAAACATCACCGGCCGCCTACTCGTCGCGTTGCGTTGGTGGAATGAGGTGCGGGAGGACGGATCGACGCATTGGGTGTTTGAATCCGCCCCAAACGTGGCGGAGCGGGTGAATTCGTACGATAATTGGTTTTTCTGGATCACCCTTGTGGTGAACTCGGGGCTGTGGCTGGTGTTGTGTGTGCTGAATTTGATGTCGCTCTCCTCGCTCCCCGTGGCGTTGATGGGGTTCGTGCTTTCCGGTGCGAACTTGCTGGGGTATTTGAAATGTCGTCGCGATGCGAAGGGTCGGGTAACGGATTTTATTATTTCCCAAGCCGTAGGCCGGTAGTCGGCGAGGTCCATGAGGTTTCCAAAAGTTTTTTTTTTCCTTACTCCTAGAGGAGGAAGAGGATGAGGGTAATTCCAGTTCAGACATGTAGTATGCTGTGCATGGTGGTATGGTTGCTTATACTTTTTAGTCCCTTGCATAAAAAGAAAAGGAGTTGTAGTAGTTTTTTTTCATCAATTGGTTCTTGTTTTTTCTGGTATTTGTGTGGTTGAAATGGTCTAAGACCCAAAACCCGGAGGGGAGGGGGCGAGTCAAGCACTGGGCAATATATAGGGAAACATCCTGATTATTATTAATAGTGTTTCCATTGTTATTCTTATGATCTATCCTTTTAACAAGTGAATGCCATATATAGGAGGGAAAGTCTGATTCACAACACTCACACCAATAGTACACCCCCTTTATCATTAGCCTCAGGCACATTCCGCTATTAGTCGTTGGTGCCGTATTCTTGCCTAGAGTTTCTTTTCTAGGTGCGTGCGTGGTTTGAATGAACAGCAAGGGAGCGAGGGGTAAATCAGTCGAGATTGTTTAGAAACCACCACCACCACCAAGAAACGAGACGGAAAAAAAAATCGATTCCAAACCGGGGTGAATGATGCGTCGATGCCTCCGTGTGGTGGGGCGCACCGGCCCTGTGGCCGCTCGTTCCGTTTCCCAGACCCCACCCCGTCGGGATCGCCGGGGTGGGGGGGATGGCCGGCTGCACAAATTCATCCGGGAGCATCAACCGCGCGGCCCCCCGGCGGCCCCCCCCTCCGCTGCGCCCGCCGCCCCCCCGTTCGACTGGGCGGTGCGTCTCCAACGGGAGCTTTACGCCGAGACGGACCCCTTGTTCGGGCTCCGCCACGGGGATTACTACCGAGACCCTGGGATGGGGGGCAGTCCGCAGTACGCGCCGCGGGACTTCGCCCGGGGC